TGACCAACCATTCATCCAACCCAGAACATCCAAAGGTCAGATTAGAAATACAGTCCACCCTGGGTATCCTGGGGTTTGCATCCACGAATTTCTACCTGTGGTTAATTGAACCCAAGATTACCTAGGGCAGACTGTACTCAGACATTTTATCTAAGGGACTTGAGCATCCGTGGATTTTGGTAGCTGTGGGGTGTCATGGAACCAATCCCCCGTGGACAGCTAGGGACAACTGTACTTTGAAGAAGAGGTGCCAACCAGAGCAGCCTCAAAGGCTGCAAACCCCAGTGCTGGCTTAAGTTCATGCCAGCCCAAAATGTGCTCATAGGATGGCATCAAATCCTCACAGAAATTAAACAGCAGAGCCACCAATCTGAGCCCAGCTCCATCTATCTCCAAAATATGCTCTTAAAGCCCCTCATGTTTCTGTTCTGCTAAATCAGGTCCTGGTTTTCTTCTCTGCCTATCTCAGGGTGAATGCGTCAAAACCCAGAGGCCTAATCTTAAGTCACTTCTTCATACCCAAATTCCAGACTGTCGCCACTAACTGCAAGCTGGACATCTCCAATAGGATGCCCCTCTCACACCTCAAGTTCAGCATCTCCACAATGTTGGAATCATCTTCCAAGCCCTCTCTAGCCTCTAAAACTCAGCCCCTCCCTTGGAATTCTGGTTTTATTTTCGCTGTTTTGTTTTTTAACATCACAGCCCTGATCTCAGTTGCTAGGATCTGCTCTTTGAGAACCTCCTTCGTTGTCCTTCTCCTCCAGTCCCCACCCAGACTTCTCCCAGGTCCCCGCATCTCCTCTGATCCTCTAGCTCTGAATCCTGCTGGTTTCCCATATCTTCACTTTCTCTCTTCTAACTCTGTACTTCCACTCATAGCTGCCCCAGATGAATCTCCAGTCGTGCCACTGCCCCACTCAAAAACCTATACCTCTCCCCTTTGGTCACCCCCTCAAAAATAAAGTATTCACCCTTGCCACATAATGTTCCCCCAAGGCACCCACAATTGAACATCCACAAATGCTCCATTACATGGAGGGCTCCAGGTTTCAGTCAAACCAAATAAGCACCTTTTCCAGAAATATCTTCCTAGCTTGTCCCTCTCCTCACATGGCAGCCCAGCCATCAGGCCCTATGACAGCTTTGCCTGCCCACTACAAATGCCCATCTTGATAGGCCACCATTTTTCGCATCCACATATTTTTGCCAACTATACAAAATTTATCTTTCAGAATCTCTATTGCTGGGACTTTCCTGGTGGTTCAGGGGTTAAGACTCCGTGCTCCCAATGCAAAGGGCCCAGGTTGGACCCCTGGTCAGGGAACTAGATCCCTCATTCTGAAAAGAGCCCCGCAGGTAGGAACCAAGATCCCAGTGCTGCAGCTAAGCCTGGAATCATCTTCCTACCTTTCTCCAGCCTCTAAAACTCAGCTTATGTGGCCAAATAAATCTCTTTTGAAAAGATTCTCTATTGTATTCTAACTGTATACATGTAATATTTTCCCTAAAGCATAAGCTCTGTATCTTTCTCATCTCTCAGTAACTTCTAGAATTTAAGAGAGAGAGAGAGAGAGAGCTCCAGGCTCTATGTTTAAACTCCTGATCTGTCCCTGATGAGGAGTCAGGGCTGACCTCCATTAACTGATCCCACAAGGTTCCTGCAAGTCTGCAATCATCTTGTCCCTCTGGCTAGATGCCCTACTAGGGCAAGTCGGCAGCACTAACAAGTTATTTGCAGGTACGATAGCTTTTTCATCCAGGATATCAAAGCCTATAATAAGCATAATTTGGAGCCCAAATTGAGGTCTTATCTTATTGCCCCCTCCCCAACTACATATGATACAGAGACAGTCAAACTTACTTTCCCATGGGAGTATTGAATGTTCAGGTTCTACTCTTTCTCTGTCAGCCATCCACATGACCATGTGAAATGCCCATTTCATGGGTACAATGCTCTCTGAAATAGTGAAAGACCAGTGACATGTCCAAATTTATGGGAAATGTCAAATAGCTCATGATATGGCTGTATAGAGGAACACTGTGTGTTCTAAGTCACTTCAGTTGTGTCCAGCTCTTTTCAAACTTATGAACTATAGCCTGCTGGGCTCCTCTGTCCATGGGATCCTTCAGGCAAAAATACTGAAGTGGGTTGCCATGCCCTCCTCCAGGAGGTCTTCCTGACCCAGGGATCGAACTTGGTTTTCTAAAGTCTCCTGCACTGACAGGCAAGTTCTTTACCACTAGTGCCACCTGGGAAGCCCTAGTGAACACTATGCAGCAGTTAAAAGGGAGGAGGTGAATTTACATGTCCTGACATTGGAGGATGCTCATTATATAGAGTTGAATGAAGAAAGCAAACTGCAGAAAGGCATGTCAAGTGTGATCCCATTTTGTTTGCTGTTTACAAATAGTCACATGGAAATGCTTATCCATGTATAAATGTATATGAATATAGAGAAGTATCTAGTAAAAAAAAAAGGAACCCTGTAAATTTGAATAGTGGATACCCCAGGGAATGGATAAAGGTGGGTCTCACTTTTCCCTTTGTGTTCTTCTGAGTGGTTTGAATTTTTGTTGAGTAACATAGAAAGGGTTTCCCTAGTGACTCAGATGGAAAGGATCTGTCTGCAATGCAAGAGACCCAAGTTCAATATCTGGGTCAGGAAGATCCCCTGGAGGAAGGCACAGCAACCCACTCCAGTATTCTTGCCTTGGAAATTTCATGGACAGTACAGTCCATGGGGTTGCGAAGAGCTGGACACAACTGAATGACTAACACACACACACATACACACACACACAACATATAAAGGAATTTATAACTATAGCAAAAACTATATTTTAACCTAGTGCTTACAGGTGTCTAGTTTAAAAAATATACACAATTCATACAGCCAAAATTGGCACCCTTTGTCCAGGTTCTACTAATATCCCACTACCTATGGTCCCACTATCTGAGGTTACTTATAAGGTGGGAAAAAAAGAAGTGAAGTCACTCGGTTGTGTCCGACCCTTTGCGACCCCATGGACTGCAGCCTGCCAGGCTCCTCCGTCCATGGAATTTTCCAGGCAAAGTACTGGAGTGGGTTGCCAATTCCTTCTCCAGAGGATCTTCCTGACCCAGGGATCGATCCCAGGTCTCCCTCATTGCAGGCAGACGCTTTACCATCTGAGCCACCAGGTAAGCCCTAAGGGGGGAAAGAGGCACCCCAAAGCAGATCTTGTGTTTCTGAGTCTCTTTGGGGTTGTGAAAGAATGCTGACACATTTTAAAATAATACAAAAGTGACAAGCACTCTTTTTTAAAAGAGTAGGAAGTCCTATGGATAGAGGAGCCTGGTGGGCTACAGTGCATGGGGTCACAAAGAATCGGACATGACTGAGTTATTTTCATTTCCCTTCACTTTTTAAATAAGCCCCCCTGGTTTTCAAAGTCAGATAAAGCTGTGAGGACACTTTTACTTATTGTACGTTATGTTTAAAGTAAGAATTTAATTGAATGTGTTTCCTAAAGCAAAGTCTCCTTAGACATGTATTAAGAAGGTCCATAGGTGAAATAGTAATGGAGACACCACCTTCCTAACATACTTCCCAATCCCTTTCCCATCAGGGCCCAACTTTGCTTGACATCTGCAAATAAATGATGATAATCTCTTTCCTTAAGAGTCAGCTTGGATAGATTGGGAGATTGGGATTGACATGTACACACTGTTATATTTAAAACAGATAACCAGTAAGGACCTACTGTATAGCACAAGGGACTCTGCCAATACTCTGTAATAACCTAAATGGGAAAATTTTTTGAAAAAGATACATGTATATATACAACTGAATCACTTTACTGTACAACTGAAACTAGCAGAACATTGTTAACCAACTATACTTCAATATAAGATAAAAAAAAAAACTTTTTAAAGTTAGCTCTACCAAGCCATACCGTAAAACCAAAGGTGAAGAACTGACAAGAGAAGGAATCCAGGTTTCAGGGGTTGGGCTTTTTCAGATCAGCAATGAGCACTGTGTACAGTGCTTATGAAGTGCTCCTAAGTATGAGAAATACTAGGAAGGAGTATGAGCAATCTGAAAACCCAAGTATCCTTCAGCTAAAGTGAGGACCAGTCTAAACATAAGATACTTGTGCACACCAGAATAAACCAAAGGGTGTTTGTCTTAGTAACATAAAAGCCTCACAAAAAGGCACCCTCTGAATCCCTGTGTCCTGTCATTCCTTTGCTACGTACAATGTGATCTGCAGACCAGCAGCCCTGGCACCACAGAACTTAGAAATCCAGTATCTCAAGCCCCACCCCAGACCTTCTGCAGCCCCCTGTACACCGGCACTGAAGCTCTGAAGACACTAAATCCTGCAGGCTTCCTCCCAGCCTCCTCCCAACCCGGCTTCCCCGCTGCTGCTTAACAAGACTTGTTCAGGACATACTCAATTAGAAACCTGACTTGGGACCCCAATTTCAAAGGGAGTGAAAGCAAAAGGTTAGAAAAATGGAAAGGGAGGCATGGGGACCAGGACTTTCCCATTTGAGGCTAGGGTTGGGTGTGGTGCGCAGGCCAGGTGCCCATGGGGCCAGTCAGTTTCACCAGGAGGAGGCCGAGAGAGGTGCCAAGGCTGCTCAGCCCAGGGGCGCCGGTTGCAGGGTGGAGGCAAGTGTGGACTGTGCGACAGATCCCCCAGGTGGGCGCCCACAAACTTAAGGGAGGGGGGAACCAGGGCTTGAGTGTGGTTTGAGCTTCTGCAGAGGAGCTACCAGAGAGACAGTGTGGGCGCCCACAAACTTAAGGGAGGGGGGAACCAGGGCTTGAGTGTGGTTTGAGCTTCTGCAGAGGAGCTACCAGAGAGACAGTGTGGGTATCCCAGCTATCAGAGAGAAGACTGACAGCAGGGGCAGAGGACCAGACACCATACTGCCTGGTAGATCCCCAGCCAGAGAGAAAGGGGACTCGGCCAGGGTGGTGGCTGGGGGGTACAGAGGCCTGACTCACAGGTGCGCGATGCCCGCCTTGCGCACGGCCGTGGAGATGGCTTTGACCGCGGTGCACAGCGAGTTGAGCAGTTGGGTCATCTCGCCCGTGCCGCGGGCCTTCCTGCCCTCTTCCATGACAAAGCGGGTCAGGGTGACGATATTGGTGTCGAAGGCCGCCTGGTCCGTCATGCTGGGGCCCGGTTGCGGCTCGCTGGGCGACAGGTGCGGGCGGCTGGACGCGGTGGGACGCGGGCGCTGCAGAGTCTCAGCGCGGCGGCTACGGAGCGGGCCGGGTTCCAGTCCCGGGGGCCGGGTAGGCTATAGGCGCGGGTCACCGCCCTCCGCCCCCGGGAACACCTCCGCGCCCCGGGCCCCGCCCCTCCGGCTGCGGCCCCGCCCTCTCCGACCCTCTGTGACGTCCGGGATCCTCGTTCCTTCTCCGCTCCCCAACCCGCGGGGTGTCCCCCCGCCTCGTGGCCCGCCCCCACCGCACCTCCGCTCCCTCGCCGTCGCCGCGCCACGCCTCTGCCCAGCTGCCTCCAGCGTGGTAGACCGCTGCTCTGGGCCATGGTCCTTTTCAGTCCGCACAACGCCCTTGCCACGGAGGTGCAATCCTGGTTCCCGTCCTCCCTCGCTAAGATAGAAGGTTGGGGTGGTTAAGCGCGGATCTCAGTGCAGCGTGGCTAGTGAGTGAGAAGCCCGCGCTGCAGCCCAGCTGCTCCGGGGTTCAGGCTCTAACCGCTGTGCTTCCCACCCCCACCGTCGTCATCTGCCATCTGCTCCCTGACCTCTGTCCACCCCTGCTTGTCCGGTCGTCTGATTCTTCTGACCAACTTCAAGAGACTGGATTCCTCTGTTCCTCGCTGTCCGATGGCTTGGTTTCGGACCCTTAATTCAGATCTGTTCTCAAGATTCCTGTAGTCTGAGAGCTATTAAAGGGACCTGATTCATGTCAATGTATGACAAAAACCACTACAATATTGTAAAGTAATTAGCCTCCAACTAATAAAAAAAATGAAAAAAAAATTAAAAAATAAAGGGACCTGTTAATGCGAGTTTCTGTGCCAAACCCACAGTAAGGCCAAACAGTGAAACAGTCTGAGTTTGGAGCAGAGAAAGGTTTGTTGCAAGGCCATGCAAGGAAACAAGTTGGCTCATACCCTGAAAAGTCTCCAGCTCCTCAAAGAATTTTGGCAAAGCATTTTTAAAGGGCAGATTTGGGGGTGAGGGGCGGGCGCAGGGGGCAGAAGGCAGTTTCTTCATTTGGTGGAGGGGTGGAGGGAGCCGGGTTCATGTCTACAAAACAACTCAGGAAACTTGCATCAAATACTGTTATCTGTATTATCTAGGTACTTCAAAGAGGAGCTGATATGGTGGAGGACCTCAGAAAGTCCTGCTGGTGCTGGAGACCTTCCTTTTCAATAACTGCACTTTGCAGAGAAAATGTTCACAGACCCAGGAAAGGGTGTCCTGGATACCACACTGAGGTCAGAGGTTCTGAGGCCACATCCTGAGGGTTTTGTAGGCACATTGCTCCTCTCCTAAGGCACTTATTCATTGAACAACATTTATTGAGCATCTGCTATTAGTGAGACCGTGCTTTGAGAGCTAGCCCTTGTCTCCTTACAAGCATCCCAAACGATGGACCCGTTGAGTTCTGTACAATTTCTGGCAATTCTGGTCGGACATGTGCCCCGGCCAGGGACAAGGAGAGCTGGCCACACTGGAGTGAAGTGGACTAATTTGCTTCTGGTTTTGGTCAGATTGTCCAGGTCCTCTTGGTCAGACATTGTTCTGTTGGGTGTCTACTGGTTCAGACTGCTCGCTGGCTCATTCTCTGTGAGCCAAGTGGCCACCTGCACAACTCTGTTCAATGCCAGTAGACTTCAGAGGGTGAGTAGAATTCAGAATCAGTGCTACAGTGGGTGGGGATGTCAGGATAGCCTCACTTTTTAGAGCAGAATATGAGAAGAACTCAGTTGGGCTTGGGTTTCTGATTTCACCCTGGGTTCCAGACCAGGTTCTGATTTCTATCACTGGGAGGTTGCATTCCTGCCACTAAGGGACCGGAGGTCTCTGTGAATGAGAACTCCCTTCCTACTACTGTAGGAGGTTGCATTCCTTCCAGGGGGAAACTGCAGACCTCTGGTTTAGAAGCCACCTTTTCTGTGATGGGGGTGGGGGGCAATTTGAGTCCCATTTTAATAAGAAACAAGAGACTTTTGGGTGCAGGGAACACATAGGTGGATAGGGTTCTTGAGCTCACCCTTCCAGGTGGCAGAAGCTGACTACTAAACTAAGGTTTGACTTCTGGGGCTTTGCCTGTTGGTCTAGGTTCACCCTGGTTTTGAGTCATAGGGTTCTAGTTTATGTTTTTGCCTTGTTTGTCTCATCTTCAATATCTGACTGTCTTATCTGTTAATAAATTAATTGAAATTGAGTTCCTTAGCAGCCATAGGAAAAGCTACCTTCAGGCCCAGGACAAGCAAACTCTGGTATCTATAATTCACATTAGTCAGCCCTTGAGAATGGCTGCCTCCCTGTGGTACATCAGAATGGAAAACAACTTTTCTGTTCCCAACTATTGCTCATTGGAATGTATTGTAAATTGGAAATCTTTGGGGTATTGACCCATGCAAAATACCAGATGGCGTTTCTCAGGAATGTTGCCTGGCCCCAGTACTCAATAGAAAATCAAGAAAAGTGGCCAGAAGATAGGTCTCTAAATTGTAACACTATCCTGCAGTTGGATCTTTATTGCAAAAGGTTAGAAAAGTGGATACAAGAGCCCATTAGTACAGTGCCTTATGGGGCTACAGCAACACCAAACTCAGCCCAATCACCAGATCTGGAGACCAGCTACAGGAGTGGTGCCCACCACTGACCCACATGGGATCCCATAGAGTCTGGGCAGGGCCCAACTTGAGCATTGTTGAAGTCTCCTACTTAAAGGGACGAAGGCTGCTGGCTGGAGATCTATAAATGGGAAAAGTCAGAAACACTCAACAGGAGGCAATGAAAATCCGTCAACATTCTTAGAGAAGGTAGAGAATGCCTCTGACAGTATACATCTCTTAATAGAGATGCCCCTGAGAGTGACCCAGCGGTTATACTTTGTACCTCAGAGTGGCCCCCAACATCTAAGGGAAGTTGCAGAAAGTAGCAGTGGGTCCAAATGCCCCCAAACGCTCACTTGGGTATTTCTGTTGGGAGTGTTCAATAACCCAGATATTGGCTGAGGAAGAAAAGGAGGACAAGTCGCTAAAGAGACAAGCCACTCTCCTGGCTGTTGCCCCCTAGGCCACACTGAGTAACGCATGGCACGGATGGATGAGTGCAGGTGAAGATGCTGAGGGACCAAGGTGCAGGCCCAGTCAATGTGCTTCAGCAAGAAGGAAGACAGTAAGTAGAAGGGAGTGCCCCGATCATCCTCTGTGAAGGAAGGCCATGGAGAGTGCAAGGGGCCACAAGCAGAGGAGCACTGACAGGGCCTAGGGGCTCCCTAGTTGGCTCCTTGGGATATAATCCCGATCTCCCCAGAGGAGCCCTGGGTTGTCTAAGAAGTGGAAGAAGAAAAAGTAGAATTTTTAATAGTTCTTGAAGCCATTTCTGTTCAGTCTTGACCACCTTGGAAGAATGTTCCAACAGGGGTGTGCTGTTAAAGGGGCATCGGGCAGATCTAACAGGAAAGCCATTGGTATGTGAAATGGGACCCTTCAAGTAAAAGTTTCTATAAGTTTTGACCTAACTGAACATGCAACATTGATTGGGACTTGAACTCATGTGCCAGGACTCAAACCCAGCTGGAAGCCAGATTGGGACTTCAACCTGCAGGTTGAGACTCGAACCTGGCTTCTTTTAAATTGCTATCACACACTTGATCTCAGGACTTAATGAAGCTCAGGTTCTTGATGTCTACTGCAGAAAGAATTCAGTAAGAGAGAAAGTGAGAAGTAAGAAGTGGATTTATTTAGAGAAGAAAAACACTCCACAGACAGGGTGTGGGCCATCTCAGAAGGCAAAACATGCCAGAATATGGCATGGTTAATTTTTATGGGCTGGGTAATTTCAAAGGCTAATGAGTGGGAGAATTATTCTAACTAATTCTGGGGAAGGAGTTGGGGATTTCCAGGAATTGGGCCACTATACACTTTTTGGTCTTTTGTGCTTAGCCTCTGAACAGTCATGGCACTGGTTAGTATGTCATTTAGCATGCTAATGTATTACAATAAGCATATAATGAGTCGCAAGCTCTACTGGAAGTCAAATCTTCCACCATCTTGGACCTGGTTGGTTATAACTAGTTTTGTTTTGTTTCATGTCCTGTGGCTATGTCAGGCTTTTAAAAGATGTGCCTTGCCCCCTTCCCTCTTGTTTCATTATGAATGGGCATATATCTCAGGAGGGAGGAACACAGCTTTCACCAGCCCTGGAAGAACATATAATAGAGCCTGAAAACTTGGTGGCCCATATCTTGAGAGTCCTTTGGACAGCAAGAAGATCAAACCAGTCATTCCTAAAGGAAATCAACCCTGAATATTCACTGGAAGGACTGATGCTAAAGTTGAAGCCCCAATACTTTGGCCACCTGATGTGAAAAGCCGACTCATTGGAAAAGATCCTGATATTGGGAAAGATTGAGGGCAAGAGGAGAAGGGGGCAACAGAGGATGAGATGGTTGGATGGTATCACTGACTAATGGACATGAATCTGTACAAACTCCAGGAGATAGTGAAGGACAGGGAAGCAAGTGTGCTGTGCTTCAGTTCATGGGGTCACAAAGCATCAGGCATGATTTAGTGATGGAACAACAAAAATCTTAGAGAAAGTAAACCCAGCTCTATGGGCTCTAGGTCCAGTAGAAAGAGCTTAAAAAAATGGCTTTAGGAGTCCTACTTAAGACTTTGGGGCCCCTTAAGAGACTATTCAACTATTTCCAAGCAATTGGATTCTGAGGGGGGAAAAAAACAAATGGCCTCCATGTCTTAGAGCTGAGGTTAAGGAATTTCTTAAACCTAAGGAGGATGCTTAAAAGTTTTTGTAGATAGATTATCAAGATGGGAGGCCACCTCCCTGTTGCACTAGCTGCCTTGAGGTGTGGGGGAACAAGCAGAAGTACCTTCATTTCAGCGGGTGGGTGGCAGGGGTGGTGAGTGATCACTCAGATTGTTACTTCTCAACTTCCTACC